CAAAGGAATCAGTGGTGACATTATTACTGGTGGTATCACCAGTGGTATTTACTTTCACTCGTGCTTGCATTTGATAGCGTAAACAATCTCCTTACATAGTCCAGAGGACTGGTTATGCTAAGAAATAAATTTTGGCATCCAGTTTTAAGTTCGCCCACATATATTCTGTGTAAATAAGCCGTACGATTGCTCTGCATCAATTGGCTGCTAAAATTTCCCCTTGTTTGTCTTCAAGAGTGGGGATTGGATGCATATAGAGGTTACAGCTAAATCTGAGTGGCAGTAAGCACTTGAAAGAAAATAGCTTGTTTTTCAGAAAAATATTTTCATGAGATAAAACACGACAGAAAAACCAAGAGTGATAAAGAGGATTCCATCTCCTGCCATGATGCAAGTGACATACAAACTACTTTGTCACTCAAGAACGATCACATTTGTTTGTAGTTTTATTTTACACTTTACTATTTCAGGAATTTCCCATTATTCTTAATATAATCTAATTTTATGTCTTAAAAATCTCAGATACGGAGCATCTACAGAATGCAACCTGGGCAAGGAAGTGGCTTCCACCTTTGGTATGACTCAGTCCAAGACCAAGATAGACTCTGACTTGATGCTACCGTGGTATCTACTATTAATGTGATGGACAAGCCCAGCATGGACAGCTTTTACCAGCCAACGGCCCAGCGGCCACACAGACCACACAGCTCACAACTATGCTCCAACTGAGGAACACAGGGGGATTCAAATTTTCACCCAGCATCCGCATACCCCGCTGTAACTACATCAGTTAGAGGAGATACCATTTTTTCATCATTCCTGCCCTCGGAGACTGCCACAAGAGCTGCAGAGGTACCATCACCAGTTACATTAGCTGAGTCCTCCAGAGCTGAGGCTCTTCAGAGTGCAGGATGAAGGCACGCACATGCGCGCGCGCGCACACACACACACACGGTGTACCTAAGGAGTCACATGCCTTGCAGTCATACAGGCCAGGAGATAACACGGAACAAGGAGAGCGTAAATGGGTAACCGAAGAGTCCCCTTTTGTTGCAACCTTGAGATGGACCATGGATTCAGTCACCTCGATTCACATTGGCAACCCTGAAGGATGGAACAGATGTTAACATGCTCAGTGCTCCTCAGGCTGTAACTAACTTTGCCCAGCTCCAAAGGTTAAGGTCACTCGAGGGAGGAGGAGGAGGAGGAGGAATGTCAGAGCACCGCAGTGGCAGATGCAGCTTGATACTGACCCAGGCAAGAGAATACGTGGTCAAAGGGGAAGGCCGGCTTTCCAGTCACCTACCCGTCGCTTTGTGACAAGTGTTCCATAGTGGGACGTCGAGCAAGAGAGATTACTGCTCACAGATCCTGCTGCTGAGCGTAGGGCTTACCTGAGTGCAGGGAACTCAGAAGTTATTGCAGAACTTCCTTGCGTGCGTGGTTTTGGAGTCACTAATCCCCTCTATCACCATACACCCAAATGAGCATCTATATGTACACCCACCTGCATCTGCAGGCACACGCGCAGAAGCATTCCCGACCCTTGGGAACTCTATCCTCTCAGCCACACTACACATTTACCTGAAGAGAAACAACATTTTTGTTCCAGATAAACACACACCACAGAGCGAAGTCATCTGCAGTGGTTGGGTACCCACTGCAAAGCTGCCAAACCAAACTTGGTGTAGGTGTAACCAAAGTAAAACACTACTACTTCTAACACTTTATTTCTAAAAGCAGATTTCAACTACCGCCCCAACTTTACATTGTGTAGGTACGGTTTGCATTTCAAAAGTCTTTACTGAAAATAATTTTGCCTCTCCCATGGTAATGAAACTAAGTGGGTCTGAACAGATCAGTTACAACTCACCCGTACACTGGAGTACCAAACCAGTATGGGGCCTGCACAGGCTTTCACTACTGGTATGTGTGTGTGCAAGCACCCGCCTTCTATTTTAACATTTTTAAGATTATGCTAAAATATTTCACATCCTCAGAATTGTGCTTGCCACACCTATAAGAAAGAAACAGTAATGGTCACTGGGCCACAGGATAATCACTTCAATAAGAGTACTTTTATAATGTAAAAGTCTAGGGGATTTTTTTTTCAAATCAGAGTTTACACTGAAGTACTGTCTCTTCTACACAAATGTTAAAGCTTTCACTTTTTTGTAACAGTAAAGATTCAGGTGCTCATTAAAATTTTGAATCCACACCATGTATAGGTGTACGCTGCAGACAGTATGGGAATATAGCTCCAGGTTTCTCTAACCACCACAAAAATGAAGTAACAATTAGTATATTAACAACTAGGTTTGAATAGAATATAAAAATTATCTACACCAGCTTCTCAAATTCACAGAAAGCAAACCAATAAAAAAAATGAAGTGCATTAGAAGAAATTCACATACCTATGCAGAAAGAGTTCAAACTGTAATCATATAATTATCACAAAGATGCACTTACAGATAAAATACACTTCTAATGCTAAACCTTTATTCTAGTGACTACAGAGGGACTTGTGGTAGTGTTTGTCTGAATCATCAGAATCTCTGCCACATATTTTGAAAATACTTCTCTGGGAGGAAGTCAGAGACACAGACAAATGTTCTAATAACTCGCTTTCTGTATTTACTTTTTCAAATAGTAGTATCATTCCTTTTAAATTTTTGTAAAACTTTTTTGTTTTAAATAAGCTTGAAAGATAATAAATGCATGAAAATTGCACCCAACATAGTGAATAAATCTTAAAAATTGTTAATAGGGTTACTGTGGCTTGTGACGCTATGTGAACACACCACATAAAGAGGACTCTTAGCAGGCGCTAATGTGATGGGTCCCCTGTACACAAAACCCACCTGACTGCACGTGCTTTTTGCAACCAGTAGCAGTGACTCTATTACGAGTAGTCTTCATGTTTCAGTGACAAACCTCTGAATTTTCCCCCCTTAAGATTGTAGAGCCAGATTCCAAGGTGTTTAAATCTCCTCTTTGCAGTGCCCGTTTGAGCTAACATCTTTTAATATTGCATCTAATCACATAATATGCAAGACATACACACTGGTTATCTGATGAGTAGGTTTACTAGCATCAACTACCTCTCCCCTTAACATTTAACTATTGCAATAATCTTTATGTATATAAATAACCATGCACACACATTCCAGTTGGATGGTGGCCGCCACACTGACTAAGAAGCGTATGTGTCTCAGGGATGTGAGGAGGGAGACATCCGCAAGAGATACCTACCAAGAGATCACTGCAATATGTTAGGGGAAAAAAATCCAAGTTTTTTTTAGACTTTAGTACTGAACCAAAACTAAAAAAAACCAAACAATAACAAAAAACAAACAAAAAAAGTTCTCAAGAAAAAGGGACAAACACTTCTTCCTAAAATAGACTGCACTCATTGAATCGGAGAACAATCCTTCTACCATTAAAGTGTCACTCAAAATGAAGAACAAAATAATTGCTTCAATGTTCTACTTTAAAACTCCATTCCTAAAACACTATATATCAGTAAATTACATGCACAATATATATAGGCATACATATTCAACTCCTTTTTAAAATGTTAATTTTGCTCATTTATGTAATGGCTTCCATGTAATTTTCTTGATGTGAACCCAGATCAGAAGAAACTATAAATCAAGCCAGAAGTGATCTGTCAGATGGAGAGACCAAAAGCAGTTCTTACCAAACTGTACAGGCAATTACACAAATAGTGGACCAAGGAATGTCACCTTTAAGGTGACAGCAATGCCCCAAGCGGCTGCTTTCATCATTAAGCTTCCAATTCACATGCTCTTTAAAGGAAAGTAATTATATGTCATTTTCTTCACCCATTCCTGCACACCAAGAAGTTTTACTTACCCCTCATTAAAAATACCCTAGAAAAGACAAACAATAGTATACAAAAGCTGAAAGCGCTTTAACCATAAGAACACTGACAGAATAGGCTTGAGAATATTAAATGGGCAAGAGATATAAATGCAAACAACTAATTTATGCAAAAATTAATAAGAGTAATTTCTGCTGGTTTAGATCTCTTGCATGACCTTAAGGCACTTACATTTATTAATAAAGCTTTGCAATTACCTCCACTGTAATTCTATGCTCATGCCCTGCACTGATTGACAGATATAGAAATTCTGAAAAAGATCAGCTCTGGTAAAGGTTCAAAGCATTAAAAGAAGTCTTCACAATTTTCCCTCCGCCTGAGTAAGCTCATCAGACAGGCTGGCTACTCCGAAAGAAAAATCAAACAAATTACCTGAGTCAATCAGAAACTTATTGGCTGTTTTGTTGTTGTTGCTGCTCTGTTGTTGTTGTGTTTGGTTTTTTTTTAAAGAAAAATTACAAGTATACATCTACTGCTCTCCTATTGGCTGAAATATACAAAGCAGCTAGTTTTAGTCTAAAACTAAATTATGTTAGAGTAGCCAAAAATATAATACATGCTTTCCTAATCCTATTTCTTTGTGATTACATATGTTCCCTGAGACAGCTTCAGCAGAAGAAATATTTGGAAAGCAAGTGACTTTTTTTTTTTTTTGCCATGTCTAATAAAGCAGCAGCAGCAGGAGCAGAAAGGGAAGCAACCAAAGCTCCACAAAACATCAGTAGTCTGTAAGTAATGGACTGCCTTATTTACAATGGAACATCCAGTTATTTATAATGTGGTAATTTAAAATGTACCATAATCAATGATTTTAGAAAATTAGTCTATCCAAATGCAGCTACATCATGCTTATTGGTTGCTTAGCAATTAATTTAACCCCAAATCGGGAGTCAGAGCCTTTTTCTAGCTGTGACAAAGCAGTACCTTTAAAAAAAAACCCACCTTAGTTTTATTGTTTATATTTACATATACAGAAGTTTTTGCATTAGAAAACTTGAAAACCATCTGTACATAAAATACAGCAATTAAAGTTTCCATGAGTAAAATCTTAAATTTGCAAGTTTATTTGAAAATCATTACATTAAATAAAGCAGCATTAAAATCCAACAAATGGGGATGAGGATGAAGAGGAAAATAATGACCACATAACATTTGTATTCTGCCCTTCCCATACATCTTTTATGCTAGTTGAACCTTTGTTCTCAGTGTAACTTGAAAAACCTGCAAATTCTGAGTTTATCTCACTTGTCTGAAATAATTCCAGTAGGGCCTGCACTGGTGAGTTACAAGAACTTCTCTTCTCTTCAGGAACTGACAGTCCGTCTGTATACTTTACACATAACTCCATATTCTGTTTCTGGCTTTCTCTTTTATTTCTTCCCAAGTAAAGCTTCACTTTTCTGCACAGCTTTCCAGACGGTGAACTGTGTGCAGTGCTGGCAGCCAATTCGTTAAGTTCTTTGTTTACAGCAGTATCAGATACCTCAGCCTCCAGAACAACATTGTTCTGCATCTGTTGATCATTATCACATAAATCATGTTTTGTGACAAACGTAGGATTGGCATCTGTTTTTTTCAAGCACTTTGCTGGTAGAACTACTGCATTATTTAATTTTCGTTTTGGCTGTGCTAAGTTTTTGTCTTTTTCACTAAAATCTGTAACCTTTGTATGAGAATATAAAGTATACACGCCTTCCTGAAAACACTCTATATTCTTTTTCTTTACTTCTGGTTCCAGTATTTCTTTACTGAATGGCTCATAAACTCGAGACAAGTTCTCCGCGTAGGCTTTGTCATCTTTCTGAGGGGGTGGTTGTATGAAATTTGATGATACAACAGTCTCTCTTAAGTTTGCAGCACAGGAGCAATCAGCTTTAACATTTTCATCATTACTTCTGAACTTACTTTTTAGTTCTGAAGGTTGTGACAGGTGACAATGAAGAACTGAACACGCAGATCCAGAAACAGGGGTAGGTATTGAAACAGAATTTGGTTGTACTTCTGCAGGCTGGCGATCCAGTTTGAGTGCCCGCATTGCCGTATCCTTCCACGAATAACTTTTCAGTGAAATGCGTTGCTTTTTCAGTCGTTCCTTCAGCTCATCTGGTCTAGTTATCTTTCCAATAATAGGAGAAAAATATCCTGTACTACATTTTGTCCTACAACGAAATTGTTTGAAATTATTAAGAAACACTTGAAAGAAACACGGGTAACAACTCCACATGCAACTGATTCTCGAAAAGCAACTGAACTGACAAAGCAACTTTTGGTTTTACGTTTAAAGGAAGGATATTTAAGGTAGCAACACACTATTTCTACATGAACAGAGTGCCTTGTATTTGAATTTGATGTTTTCTTATTGATTTCAAGGCTCATAAAATAGTTTTAAAAATACATTAAGTAAGCATCTCAATTAACAGTGGTATTAAGAACAAAAGAAGCTAATGAACATAACATAATGACTATAAATACTTACAAATATTCTATCACATATACACACAAAATTAGCATAATTATATATGCTTTTCTTGATAGTATTTCAAACCTAACCACTCAGTATTTTTAAACCACAAAAGGAATAAACGCTTGCCTTCATTAGAGTATCAGTTGTTTGCCTCTATTTGCATTTCCTTTGATTTCACTAAGAATATCTTTATTTATTCAATACTTTTCTTTTTTTAAAGAAATGAGAAAGTTATTCCTTATCTCCTGACTCATTTGCAAACAAATCACAGCAATCTTGAATTGAATTACTATTCCAAGTAATGAAGACAGCAGTGCCTACAGTCCAAGATGTGAAACAAGTCCTTCTCCCCCATTTAAGCTTTTAAGCTATGAAGAAGAAAGGAAAATCTGCTTTCTTGGTCCGGCATAGGCAGGACAGAGCTAAGAGGCTTAGAGTACAGATAGACAGATCTAGATTAGACTAGGAAAAGTTCGTCCACTGGTAAGGAGATCAGATTGACTGAGGACAATATAATTTGCTGTTCTTAGGCTGCTATCAGAATGTTTTCAGAGCACCATGTCCAGACATTGTTATCCTTCTGTCAGCAATGTTTTAGTACAGTCAATCTTGCTTTTCTTAAGCTGAAGGATAGGTAGGACAACTTTTGGCAACCCTTTCAGTCTCATTTTCCTGTGATGCCATCTGCACTTTCAATTTTTTTTTTTTCCTAATTTCTGCTTTGTAGAACTGATTTGCCAGGTACAATATTGCAAATTTCAGTGATTTATTTCAGGCTGAAAAATATGAATTTATTCTGTACCAGATTCAGAATTTCAGAACTAACTATCATTATGTTCAATATCTTAGCTCACCAAGACTTTAAAATTTAGGTAAAAAGGTAACTTACCTTTTTATTTTTTTTGCATCATCTTTGTATTCAACAAACTCATAAACAAACTTTGAGATTATATCATCAACAACTTGATATTGTGTGCTTTGTGCAAAATTTCGGTGCTGTTCACTTTCAAGATGCTGGAATTAAAGAAAAAACATGAAATAAATTTAATACTACAGCTATGAACTTACAAGTCAACAGTATGATACAGAGCAGTAAGTAAATATCATTAATTTATTACCAATGTCTCTGAGACATGAACTATTAGTGTCTTCAGCTACCATACATAGAGGCAGAGATCAAGGATTAAAACCTACAAGGGAAAAAAATACCCACTTGCTGCTTTTTAGGAGATATATTCAGAAATCTTTTAAGACAAAAAATGAATTAAACTAGCCAGTAGAAGCCATTGTTAGTGCCACACAAGAGATATGATTGTATCAAAGCATATATTTGACATTTCACATACTGTTTGCAGATCTTCATATTTCTTCCCACAACATTCACAATATCCTCTCTTTTTTTTGTCCTTCTGAGGGAGCTGAACAGGAGTTCCACAGTCCTTGTCACTATTTATTTTGTTTCTGTTAACAGAAAAGATATATTAATGAGTCTCAAATATGTAGCTGAGCTTTATACCTTCCTCTCACAGTATGTTCATTCTTATTCCCCTAATTAAAAAAAAAACAAACCACACCACCTATTTCTCTTTAAACTATTTACATTATGTTAGTCAATGCTTAGGAAAAACAAAGAGAAAAATTATGCATTAATTAAAAAAAAAAAGATTTACTGCAACAAGACAGGCAGACCCAGTGGAACCATATGTAAGCATAAAGCATCCAGGTTAGTACAGATGTAGTACAGATGTACTATTATCACTGACTCAGAATAAAGAATGCAAAATCGCCAAACAAAAAAATCTCACTTGACAAACCAAAGGACATATTGAAATCTCTGTACATAGCCGATAAAAGGTTTGATAAAAATCAAAACTAGAAAAAAAAAGTCTAACATCTCATTGACTGTCAGTATTTTTGATGCCAAGAAAACATACAGCAAAAACACTTGCTCTAAACAAATGAACTCTCATTCTTTACTAGAAGTAATGAACAGTCACATTTGTTGGCTATACATCTTTTGAATGTGCTGACCAAATGCCATTTTGTCCTGTTTTTCTAGGTACAGGCTAAGTGGAAGTGCAAGGAAATGAACCTCAAATTCTTCCTGGAGATTAAAATAAGAAGAGGTTTTCAATAGCTGCTCCATGACCTTCAAAGTCCTCATCTGGGGAGAGTTAGTTTGCTGCAATTCACTATTAAACCACCTGAGGGTGATATGCTAGCTAATAAAGCAAAACCATCAACCTCTACTTCCCTTTTACTTCATAGTAAATAGTGCCATCTCCCTGTCTAGCCAAAAATCATTCTGACGGACTTTACCAAGTATCTGCATGGATGTACGCTCAGGAATTTACACCAAAAAAAAAAAAAACCTGTCCTGAAAAAAATCTCTAACTTACAAAGCATAGCAACATATTGCTCAGCATAATAAGTGTACACAAGTCTAAATTGGTAACACTTGCTGCAGCATTTGCTGGGTCCGACAGGACAAGCTCCACCTAACTGTACTTTTACTATTACACTAGCCTTTTTTACCTTCCTTCTTCAGAACTGTAAAAATCAGAGAACCAGTAAAGCAGGATATTAGCAATAGCATTTATTAAGATCGAATAATGTCTGCAGGTCTTGCCTGATGCAGAAGCAAGTAGAATAGACAGCTTTGTTCCAACAAGGTTTTTTTTCCCAAATAAAGACAAAACAAATGAACGCTCCCCCTTTCTCTCTCCTGAAACGGATATTCCCCACATCTACCTGCTGAGTATGAAATAATCTCCCACCTAAGTATCTCTTTGGCAGGTGCCAACCCGAAACATTAAACAGGAATATTCATTCAAACATAACTCCTGATATTTTTAATATATCGTATTCCTTAATACATATAAATGAAAAGAATATTGCCTCCCCACCCTTTCTTTTTTTTTTTTTAGTGGTTTAAAAAGAATAGGCCTTCCTAACCCCCTCTGAAAAGACAGCATTAGAAATTGTCTTATTTTTGCAAGAGTTACCAGTTTATTATAATTGTTTTGCCTTTTCATACTGCTACATTCATCTCAATTAAATAAATAAATAAATAAATAAAACTCATCACGGCAACCTCAGCTGAAAACCTCCAATGATATCACAATGGTGAAGACTGAACAGAACCTGAACAGTGGAGAAGCTATTTTATAAAGAAAACAAGTATCAAACCTAAATAAGTCTTAGACTGAAAACCAGCAAAAGTTACTAGATACAGAAAATTCTACATATAGCAAAGCTACCTTTCACCCAAATATCTTTAGTCTCTCAGGTGAACCAATTTTAGAAATAAATGAAAGAATCATTAATATTCTAGATATGCTTGGTAGAAGAAATTCAAAACAATAGCTTGGTTGATCAAAAAGCCCCAAATAATTAAAACTCCTAAATAGTTTCAAATCATAAAAAGTCCTAACTGCATCTGGAATGCTCAAATAGAGCCTAAATGCCAAAACATATCATATAAACGCTTGCTGCAAGACCAACTGCACTTCTACTGGGCAGCTGGCATCCACTTTTCATCTCTGAAGAGTTGAAGCAGTACTGGCAGTCTAATTTCTATAAATTAGACTTCATAAACAACGCCCACTCTTCATCAACAATGATTTTGCACTGTGACCAAGTATCACTGTTTTAAAAATTTTTAGCTGCCTACTTTAGCATTGTACTGACAAATATCAAACGAAGTCTTAACAAATCCACATCCTGTAGAATACTTACTGGATGGCATCCAAGATGAGGACAAAGAAGAAACCAGTGGCAGAAAGGAAAAAAAAAAATCTTATGCTGACCCACAGTGACAGGAGAAGGCCACATTTTTTGATGTATGCATCTGTATGTCCAAAAAAAAGGACTGAAGACAGGAGAAAGAGGGTACAGAAAGACAGACAGACATCAGCAGTTACAGTGCAGCAAATACATCAGCTGAGACATGGATATTAGTATTAAATATCACAGAAAATTAGAAGCAGAGCAATTATTTTATAAAACAATTACTTTTGAATTATTTTAGAGAACCGCCCTCTCCTCTACCCACAACTCAAAAACAAGTTTTCAACAAACCTTTGCTTAGACTGAGTTTGCTTTTGGCCAGAAGGATGCTTCTTATCCACCTCAAATGGGCTATACGGTTTTGGAACACAGTAGTTCAGAACTGGAAAACTGGGTAACTGCAGATAAAACGGTCGGTAGTGGCTGTATTAGACAAAACAAGTGCATTAGAACCATCAGAAATGGGAAAATCAGTTTAAGCACAAACTACAATCAGGTCAAATATCTTGGAAAAAGTGTTTCTCTTTCACACATAATGTACACAGAATGCTAATGAGGTAACTACCCTAGAATAAGTCACTCCTTCCTTCATATAAACTTGATACTTTCTCAAAATAGATTTGCTTTGAGTTTCCACAGCTGTTTTACACATTCCTTCAGGTATTGCTTTCATGCCTATTTATTGTTGAGAGTTGGGTAACCAATGAAACTAAGAACAATTTGGATGATGGTGCATCTGTGTTCCCGAGAAGTAGCTATAGCAGTTTCTAACATCCAATGCATTAAATTTTTTTTCCATGTTACCATTTTCTTCCTTTTTGACAAATTTTAATCACTTCACCATTCAAAATATTAACACTAACCTTTTCATTTTCCAGAAAGATAGTTTTCCTGTACAGCACTGTACTCAGAAAGCTATCAGAACTAGCAACTGTATCATTGCTCTGAATACATTAAAAACGTTTAAAATAGGCCATGCTAAAAGTTCACATACAGAATCACTGGACTGAAATGCTGATGCCAGAGTTCAGTCTCATTTTGTTTCCCCACATTACTATATAAGCTGCCCAGGCAGAAGAAAACGAGCAAGTCTGGAAAACGTAATAGGGACAGCTAAGCATCTTGTTCTGCTTCTGAACTGTTACTTATGTTGCATAAACATTTAAACATAAATGTCGCATAAACATTGTTTATTCAAGAGTGTTTCAGGTGTTTCATACACAGCTACATCTAGAAGTCAAATTCACACAGAATTATATACAACTTTCTTGTACTTACAACTGTGTTTGTCCAATTCTCCCCACTATCCTCACGTCCCTCATACCTATTACACCACCTCACAGTGTAAGATGAGATTTAGATCTCTTTTTTTAATTCAGGAAAGTGTCAGAGAAATCAGGTCAAAGACTTTGGAGCTTATAAACATCATCATACAGCAGAAGTTAGCTAAGAATATAAAAGTGCAAAACATGCTGTGCAGAACTGCACTTCTTTATAAGTCATTGTTCTCTCAACTTCTGGCAGACTGGTATTTCCTTACACAACCAGGTCTGATCAATTACAGGACCAGAAAGATGTGAAAATTTTGAAGGCTGAAAATATCAGATTTCTTCCTACTCTGGATATTGAAATCAGATTAATAGCTTTGTTTTTTCCTTTTAAAAATAACTGTTTGAACAGTTAGAAACCTAATTTCAAGGGATGATTTTAACTCTAACAACTTCCCCTTCCTTACATCTAAACAGTCTCTGCAGCAGATTAACATTATTGAGTTGGGACTACAGGACTGGAATTTAGTATACAAAGTTTCATTGGCCTTTTGGGCTACAGGATTTGGATCGAAAAAAAAGATGTCAAGGTTCAAAGCTACCAGGTTTCTTTGTCATTCATATGCCCCTTGGCAGGAAGTGACCCAAAGAACCCAATACAAACTGGAACTACAATATTAGCTTTCCACTTCCATTACTTATTGCAAATATTCCCTACTATACTACTACCTGCTCCATCTCATTCAGTGGCTAAACAGATACCTACCCAGAGCACGCAGAGATGAAATTTTTGCATCTTAATTATAAGAGGACAGTATGCCTGGCAGCTAAAGTCAGGAAGTCGAAGGAAATCGAAATCTGAAGGCCGCTTCCTCAAGGCATACTAAATGTTTCTGAATTACTCAGGTAGAGAACTACATTATTGAATACATGAAGAGAACACTTACCGACTTCTGTCTTCCACCTTCACAAACGGATTTTTCAGTCTACCTGCTCAAGAGGGAGAAAAGGAAATTAAGAAAGAAATACTCTTCTTAATTCAGAAAGTTACTCCAGCACGTGAATAAATAAGGAAACATTACTTTAGAACTCGCTATGTACAAGTCTTGACAAACTCTTCATTTCCGTGAAATTTTATTACATGCTTTTCTTAGACACAGAATCATAGAATGGTTTAGGTTGGAAGGGATCTTAAAGACCATCTAGTTCCGAAGCCCCTGCCATGGGTAGAAACACCTCCCACTAGACCAGGTTGCTCAAAGCCCCATCCAGCCTGGCCTTGAACACCTCCAGGGAAGGGCCACCCACAGCTTCTCTGAGCAACTTGTTCCAGTGCCTCACCACCCTCACAGTAAAGAATCTCTTTGTGATATCTATTCTAAATGTCCCCTCTTCCAGTTTGAAGCCATGACCCTTCATCCTATCACTACACGTCCTTGTATAAAGTCCCTCTCCAGTTTTTGTGTGGGCCCCTTTCAGATACTGAAAGGCTGCAATAAGGTCTTCCCAGACCCTTCTCTTCTCCAGGATGAACAACCCCAACTCTCTCAGCCTGTCTTCATTGGAGAGGTGCTCCACCCCTCTGATCATCTTTGTGGCCCTCCTCTGGACCTGCTCCAACAGGTCCTCATCATTCTTGTGCTGAGGACTCCAGAACTGGACACAGTACTCCAGGTGGGGTCTCACCAGAGCAGAGTAGAGGGGCAGAATCACCTCCCTGCTGGTCAAGGGAGGTGATACAGCAGCACACCTGACCAGATGAGAACTGTAGTACATTTTTAAGCATTCACAACATAAGGGAAAACAAAAATCTCTACAAATACTGAAATACTTACTTCTTGACTTTGGAGCAGTAACTTGTTTTCCCTGTTGAAAAGGAAAAAAGAGAGAAGATGTAAAATCTCTATGAATATTATTCTGCATTTTACTAAAGATTTGGGTGTAGCTAATTTTAAGTGATGAGGGTCTCCCTGTATTAATCATGACTTCATACAGAGTCATGATAAATTTTGCAGGAAACTAAGCTCATTACTACTTCAGAAATATGGTGACATGTTTCACAAAGAAATATTTATTTCTGCACTGCAAAAGAAGTGTTCTCCTTGAGATGTTTCAATTTATTTTTCCTAAAACCAAAACCAAGCAAAAACCCCACACAGGTAAATTTACTCACTTTCTCTCTCTCCTCACCCCAAAATCCCTTGCCATGGTTGAAAGCTGATTCTTAAATACGGACAAAATTTTTACAACACTTTATAAATGTTAATTAACTACAAGCTGTAAAATGCCACCAGAAACTGCAAATAGCAACATTCTCCAATTAAAACAATTCTTCTCATTTGGATGGATTTACACGGGTTGCTTTTTTATGTTTTTAGCAATGAAGACTAAATGTATTTTGTCTTCAGAAAAGAATAAAGTCTACATTCAAACTTCAGCTGTTAGCTGTAATTGGTTCTGGTAAAGGTACAAACTCACACTTTATACTACTTGCAAAAAACCCACAACCCACCCTGCTATCCATGAAGAGCTATTCACTGATGATTTAGCAGAAGATTTCATGTGGCCTCAATAATTAGCCAATATTGCATTCAAAAAACACATAACATACAATAGATGGCAAGTTTCCATTTACTTGTCACAGACCCCTGCCTAGACTAGATAATTGTACAACCCCACATTTAAATTTCAGAGCAACTGCAGAAGGAGCACACAAGCAGCTAAAACAGCTTCAGTGTTTCACTATATCATATGTTAAAATATGGAGAAACTGGGATTTTCACATGCCAACTGGACATCAATGGCAGAATAGCTCACAGATGCATTATGCTAGTTCTTTAAAAGACTAGGAAGGAAAAGCTGCAGAGTCAAGCAACTGACAGATTCCCTAGAGACAGCTTCTTCAGGAAACGTAACTGTGATTCTTCAAAATAGTCCATAAAAAGGACAGGGTTTCTAATCATTGTGTCATAGGGAAAATTATAAAAGGCAACTTAACCACAGTCTACACCATGCTAAAACATCAAGCTATGTGGGTTTTTTTTTATTTTTGAGGCAGGCAGAATGGAAATTTCAGACAGTTCAGCACTTGGGATTCTTAGATATCCTTTGAAGAGCAAAGGTCTACACATTATTTAATCAATGCTCCTATAGAATTTATTTTTGATTAATGCTGAAATGTATAGTTAATATTTTTTATTTTTCAAAGATGGTTTTTTAATCAATTCATAAAACATACTTCTCTGTGAAAAACTGAGCATAAGCAAGACTATAAACCTAAAATCTGTAAGCTTTGCAGTAGGTGGTATTTAGTAGACCTGTGTTTTCTCAGTTAATGAAGCATTTTCAGAGTTAGCGAAGCATTTTCACAAATAGCAAAGAGCCACTTACCCCATCTTTAAAAGAACTGCCTGCTCTTTTGATTAGGTAGAGCTCCTTTTTCTTTTGTTCAATGTAATTCTTAACATCTGGCAAAAAGAGGGAGAATTATACTCAGCTGAGTTTATTTTTGTATATTTGAAGTAATTTGTCATTTTTAGTATTCTGAACTCGTCAAAAGAATAAATGAATGTTAAGTGCAGGTTAGGCTTCATCAAACAAAAATACTTACCATCAATATGAAGTATCTTCACTCCCCAACTCAAAGCATTGGATAGTATACTACCAGAGGGGATCAAGTCCTGCAAACAATAAATTATATTAATAATTTTAAGCAATATATGGTAGATCATGTAAAATAATTACAAACATGTTATAACATGTAATATGAAAGCTGAGATCAAAGCGCAGATGCTTTGCTTCTTGCCAAAATACTTATCGCTCTCCTCGACTGACTTTTCCATCCCTGTGTCACAGCACTTCACCATCAAAAGATTATATTTAGCCTTTCATAAAGCCAAAATTGTTCTCTATTGTCACATTTTATAGTAACTAAGATTTGAAGACAGTGAATTTATACATTTACTTCATGAGCACCTCTCAAATGCTAGCTATATTAACAATCCTGATAAATTATAATACTGGTCATAAGCCTCTACAGACTTTCAATTGTTCAGGCAGAAAGCGTGACCTGACAGTTTTACTTAAGACAATCCCTTGGCTTCTGCCTGAGCGTTCCATGAGAGAATTCTCTCTTAGACCGCTAAGACCACTCTTATTACTGCTTGTTTTCTAGAAGAGGAAAACCAAAGTTTCTCAAGCACAAATTCATTGATTACTTGGCTTACCTGCTCTTTGATTGCTTTTTCAACTAAGGATTTTCCTCTGCTCATACGTATCTATATTAAAACAGAAATACATTTGTAGCAAGTTAGAACTCATTTAAAAAAAAACAAACAAACAAAAAACAATAGATAAGACAATTTATACTGTTGCTAACAAGTACACATTTTAGCTATGATAGTCATCTTTTCTTTACTGTACTGGTATTTTTCATTCATTTGCATTTTCCTCACAAGGTTAGGGTTGATACAGTTTGAGGGGGAAAAGAAACAAAACCCCAACCAACAAGTAGTCATTTTCAGGCAAAGCAGGTCACTGCATGGCTGAAGTAATGCTCATGTTGGAACAACAAAGATAGTGGTAATAAGCAGCCAGTGGCACACACCAAAAAGTGATGTTTCATCAGCTGGACCTGTGCTAAATTAAGCTAACAGTCATGAATATGATCATAGCCTCCATCTTATCCCCATCTTTTCTATCACCAGTGTGTCTCCTTTTGTATCGTATGCATGCCTTTACCTGTGCAGGTCATTAGTAAAATGAGGTTATCTCACTTATGCAATGCAAAGACCAGACTATCTAGCGGTCATGTTTCTAAGTAAGTACCATGTATATAGTACAGCTAATTGTTTCCAGCTGTATTTTGAAAGGATGCAAGACTTGCCTATGTTAGAAACTTCACATGAACCTGCATGAATTCAGATATTAACTGTCGCCATTAATGTGATCCTCTAAAAAAAAGCACAGGAAAACTTAATATTCATAACGTTTGATTTTAGTTATTTCCTTGAGCTACTATTAAAAAGTGCTTCTGTAGATATCTGCATTAATAACAGCACAGCAGCCAGATGTTAATAGGTTGTATTGCTAAAGAGAGAGGAACTATTGGATGCCATCGCAAGCCTATCCATATTGATACAGTTGTCAAACATAACAATGTCAATGTTTAATTATAAGTCAGGCATACTATATTAGAACAGATTTTAGTGTAGTCTGCTTATTTGAAGAAAAAGCTCCTTTTGTAATTAGTTTTTGAAACTTTATTTAATTAGAGTTAGTTAATTCTAACAAGTTAGTCTGAACTAGTCTAAAAGTATGTTTGACCTCTTAAAAAAAAAAAAAACCATAAAAAAACCAAAAACCTTATTCACCCAAGGAACAATTGCCATCTTTAAGAAACAAAACAGGAGAAAAATTTTAAGAGCCTATCCCATGGGTTGTACCCAATTTGCAGTATTATTACTAAGAAACTTACTGTATCTCCTATCTTAAATGAACTCCCATCATGATGATCTTTCCGGTTGCTAGGATGAGGTGAACTATTTCCTCCATTACGTGCAGATTCTGGGCTAGGAACAGGAGAAATCTGACCAAGAGTTGGTGCAAATTTTGCCTCCTTTTTGTTAGACACCAGATAGCTGATATCTTTACTGAGAAAACTCTCCACTCTCTAAATATAAAGATATAAAGCAAGTAGTTATTTCAGGAGAATAAATCAGTAACTCAATTTCACATTGCATACTTTAAAGAAAAGTGACAAAACTTCTAGAATAATTAAGTTCAAAAACATTGAATTAACAACAAGACATTTTCTAAAGACCTGGATGACAATGACAGTTGAACTGCAGTAGCATCTTACCAGTTACAAATTCTAATTTCAATTTCTTATTTTGTAATGTCTATCAAAAGAACTTTGGTTTGTTTCGATTATTGTAATTCTTTGAACTATCTAGATGTAGTACTTTTCCAAGAATTCAAACACTGCCTTGAGAAATAACAGAATAATTCAGGGAAAAAAATCACGGTTTAGCTAACTTTTCTGCTGACTCTAAACTCTGAATTCATAGTTTCTTGCAAAGTATATGCCTTTAAGTTTAGCTGAACACTAATATGTAATTTCTGTTAAAATTAAAATGTCACTATAGTTATCATGGTTCACACCTACAGTATTCATAACACTTCTCAAAAATGTAGGACTTAAGTAGATTCATAATATTTTCATACTCAGCAAGACAAAATATGTGGTTATCCTATACTTATTCTCTTCCATTTTGCTCCTTTCATCACCAACTGTTATGTGATTGTCAGCTTTATTTGCCTTGTTACTTCTTGCCAGTTTATGGAGTTTGAAATACTTTCATCTTCTCCACTAATCAGTATGGAAACCACAAATCGCAGGGGCAGCAAGCTTGAACTGTGCCTTCCAATTCTACTCTAAGTACCTTTTACAGAAATGCGACATACAGAGAAAAGCACTTTTGAGCGCACTCCACACAAGTAACAACAAAACACACATGGTAGTTGATTTTGAGGACGCCAGGCACCTCAGATTTAGGCACATACACATCAGAACAAAACAGTAAAACTTCATTTTCAGTCTGTGATTTGCAACCTCACCTTTCACATATGAATTCCTAAAATTCTGGTTTAGAGGGAAAGACAAAAGACAGCATGCACTCACTTAATGCCAGACATAAAAGAGATGCATTTAACTTGAAACCACGTTACTGCTATCCCTTGCCTCTACAATAATTTCAGGCAGCATCTTGATTTACAAATGCCAATTTCATAAAACTGCTCAGCGCTCCTGTGAGGTCAAAGAAGTTTTGCCAAAGCAACATTCAAAACAGCCAGCAATTTAAGCAGATCCCTTTTGCTTCTGTGGTTGAAGGGTGTTCAATACTTTAACTACCAAGATTCCTCTACACTAATTCAAAATATTCAACTTTAAACTGGACTAAGCAATTGCATTGCTTGTGTTACTGTGATATCCTGTACTTGCTTGTATCAGTGTTTCTTCCATACAGAAGACAGAATTAGGAAAAAAAAAAGTATGAAGGTGCTTATAAAATTTATGATTTAAATAAGAGTATTTAAAAATACTCATTAACATTTTGTGTGCAGAAAGAACTTACTGAAGTTAGTGACTTTTAGTAAGCATATGCAAAAACACTTCCTCTAATCTCTTTCAGGTTCAGCTTAACAGCTTTAGTTGTAACATGTAAACACATTAACATAGTCAGAAGCAGCAGAAAAAAACCCAATCACCTATAACAATGAAACTTACTAAATTTGGATAAATTTTAAAGCAAATGAATAATCAACTGAAAACAAACCTTAATAATGAAACACTGGTTAAAATTAGCAAAGCAGCTTCTAGCAAAAAAAAAAAAACAAACGGAAAATAATTTGTTGATAAGCTAATTGTTCATATTAAACATTAAGACAAGCATTAAAAAAATAACACCCCTTCACAAATAAAATAAAATAACATTAAAATGGAGTCACTAAGAACATGGAAAAGGCATTCCACACATGCAGATCATAAAGGTCTTCGCTCATTAACTTACCCCTCCTAGCTCTTTGAGGTCCTTTCCTATTTTTTCCGAGATCACATTTGATGGAATATCGAGGTAAAACACTTTCCCAGTGAGTGGCTTATATTTAAGTTTCTCTGGTTTTCCTGTATCTTTGTTCACATTCTTCAGAGAAGATCTTATCCTTTCTGGTTTTGCTTGCATTCCATCTACTGCAAAAAGAAAAAGGAATTTAAACATGAGTGTGTTTTATGAAATGTGGGGTTTTTTTTCTTTTCAAGAAGGAAAATTCCTAAATTATGGAAATGGACAAGGCAAGCTTCCATGCAATATAGGACTTTTAAAAAATAGCTATATGTTAAGCATGTCAAAAACAAGACATTAATAATAGTATCACATATAGCCCTTAAAAGTTTCTTCTTAAAGTCATATCCTAAAATGGACTTTTTTATTTCAGTTGCTATACAATGCCATCAATTTTATCACCCAGTTTGGCAAGTATTTGCTATCTCTGTACTGCAGTACATACACTACTTGCACAGTCACTGATAATCACAAGCACACCGTTTTAGAACAGAATCTGTCTCTCCCTCTTATTCACCTGAAACAAAAAGGATTCATAGTGACTCATTACAACAAAAAAACAGTCAAAAGTAACTGAAACAGCAAAAACACGAGACCCATTTATCAGAATTTTGAACACCCACCTGAGATGCAGGAAAACTAAGCTTAAAGTTCAGAACCATCCTAGTTACGACCACTCTTCCTCTCCCAGTGAATTTTATTCTAAACCTAAGAAACCACATACAGCAATTAAACTCTGTTGATGAACTTTCCTGATACTCAACACAGAACTATCCACACAGGCCTGTTAGACTAGACTGTTAGGCTGATTTAAAATCAGCAAATTAAAAAAAAAAAAAATCAGTCGGGCTGAGAAATAAGCCTCATGTCTCAAGGGAAATCTTGGAGTGTGGTAGAGTTCTACAAGAACATCAGCTCAATACTGACTAGCAATCACAAAAGAAAAAAATTAGAAATTGCTAAGAAAAAAAAAAAACAGAGAATAAAATTGATAATTTTATTATGCCACTTCATAAATGCAGGACTCAGTTACACCCTAAATACAGCCTGCAAAAGAGTAACAAGGATGATCAAAGGAATGAAGAATAACCTTGTAGATGAAGACTTTGTCAGTCTGTAAAGTAAATGTTTTAGGGGGGAAAAGAATACAGACATATAAAATCAAGAACACAGAGAGAATGGCTAAACAGCCTATTCCAGTAGAAGAGCTATGGAGCACCAAACAAAACTAGGAGTCAGGCACAAAATGAAAACCAGGAATTGATTCTCTATGCAACAGGGCAACCCTGCCTAGCTTGCTGCCCAAGAATGTTGGCAATACTAAGATGCAACTTCTAGGGGAGGCTGTACAAGTATGAAGAAGAGGAGTATTTTGAGGGGTCTTAAATGCACAGAAGAGGCATGCAACTCACGAAGTCCCCGTAGCTAAACATAGCTGGAAACTAGAATAATATTATGAGGTGAAAGTAATTACACGTTCTCTATTCTTACATACTTCTGCAGGAATCTATTTAGAACCAATGACAGAGAGAGAATCATCCAAGACTTGGACGTCGTTACTTTTACATTTACAATCTTTTCTTCCTCACTGACTTGACACCTTACTCCTGGTTGCTTCTCTTCTGGAGAAGCTCAAAACAATGGGGGCTGCTGCAGGAAGTAAGCAGGCCTCTTCTGGAGACAAAAGGCCAACACGCAAACCAGTCCCTCTGTTATATATTCTCTTCTGCCCTGAAACGGTCTTGGATGTGAGAGGGAGCAGACCCACCACTCACGCTGCACGATTCTGTAAGTAATGGTTACGAACACACATAAGCGAAGCAGCAACAGTCAGCTCTGTATAATCTAGGAGACCAAAAGAATTAGATAACTGCTTCAGAATCTAAACAAAAAAGGTGGATGATAAACAGGTGTGCAAGCGAAATTCTGTCGATGACCAGGGATCAACTACGGTGTTGTACCCAGCACACACAGGTGATGGCCAGGGCAGCTCAAAAATTAACACGCTAAATGCTGCAATTAATATTGGAAACTACATATGAAGCTTCTTAGGGGTAAAAAGCGAGTTGGCACTACGGCAATAACAGTAAAGAGTCCCTCCCGTGAAGCGACCGCATTTTCATAGCCCGGGCCTA